GGAAGTCAAACCCAACATAGTGGAGCTGGAACTCCCAAAACAAATAAGGGTGGTACCCACGGTTAATATTAGCCGTGTGAAGCCCTACAAAGGGCCGCTGCCGGGACAGCGCGTAGACCGCCCCGGGCCGGTTGTAGTCACCGAGGAAGGTGAAGAAGAGTTTGAAGTTGAACCAGTAGTGGACGCACACTTGAAGTGTGGAAAGTTAGAGTTCCTAGTCCTATGGAAGGGCTATGGAGATGAGGACAAAACATGGGAACCAGAAGCCCATCTGTATAACTCCCGCAATGCTGTTCGAGAATTTTATTCTAAAAATCTCTCGGCTCCTAGGAAACTTTGAGGCATGGATCCAAAACTTTTTAATTCCCTTTTTCAACCTATGCCCAAAAATTTAACTACTACCTCCAGTACTTGGTCTCACCTGGAAGTCAAGCCTTAGAGTGGGGGTAGTGTTACGATAACACATTTTTGGACCTTTAACTTTCATTCTCCTCTTTAACATTTTACTGTAGTTTTTACACTCCGTGCCACGTGGCACTTTCCCTTCTGTTCAAACTCCACCTTCTCATGCTGCATTGCCTTTCTTTCTATTTTAGATACAAGTCTCTCACGCAGTGGAGCTGGTCACACGGGCTGCACCCTCTGACTTCATCAGCCACTGCTTTATCAACTGTATAGTACAACATGTACAAACAACCTGTAGTAGTATATATACCGCAATAAATCCAGGAGACTCCTCAGCGAGTCCTCCTGTTGTTTACCCACAACTAACTTGGTCCTATCGGTAAACACTCCCTTCACTACCTTTATAGTTAGTTCTAGTTGTGCACCAGAGTATACAAACTCTAGGTTGTTACAGCGTGTCTGAACCCTTGAACATCTCAGTCACTCATACATAACACCCTACACTACATTTTTAACCCCTCCCCAACCAAAAACACCATTGCAATGTCTTTTGCCACCCAAGAAAAGATCTACAAAGCCAATGAGTGTGTCAGGAAGGCCATTATGTACTGGCCCCTAGCTCTTGTCTAATACAGGGACCAGTTTGTGGAGAGGCTGAGGGAGGAAGTAGTGAGTGGGACAGACACAATAAAGGAGGGAAATGACGCTGGGAATGACTTCCACATCCCCCGGCTCTTTTTGACTGCCATCATGCAGTTTGGCAGGGCAGAGAATGAGGGAAGTGCAGTGGATCCATTGTTGACCACCCAGAAAGATAAGACAGTGGAGGAATAAGTCTGTTTGAGCCAGGGAGACAGACTCCTGGGAGGAGGGAGGCTCTGGATGTTTCTTATTTTTTCATCCTTTGTCAATTACTTACTAACTGTTTCTTTTTACAGTGGTTCCACCTTGTCCTCATCTTTTCAGCACCATGCCCATCAAACCAACACATTCCAAAAGCCCCCCAGTACCCACCACTGGCAAAAAAAAGTGCGACCCTGCTTGCATGACAGTGGTGCCTTCAAAGAGGGCAGCTCTATCCTGGTGCTCCCCATCCCCACCCCCTGTTCCTGGGCCCTCAAAGCCATCTTGCCCCCAGCACACCCACTCTTGCCCCGGGACTTCTAGTGGTCAGCGCCCAGACCCTATAACACCTCCCACTGGAAAGGGAAAGAGAAAAGGAAAGGTGGTAGAGATTACCAGGGGTATAGAGGATCTGCAGAGGAAGAGCATAGAGGAGGGATGCAAGTGGTGCAGGCTGGACAAGTTTGCCTGCACCATCAGCAGGAGTAAGCAGACAAAGAAGTGGAGGATGTCTTGCAACAAGTGCAGCTGGGAAAACCGCTCCACCACGTCTACCACTGTGCTGCCCATTGCCACTATCTCCATTACTCACTGCAACCAATGCCTTACAAGGCAGCTTATCTTTGCAGCCAGCTTATGCTCATTGTTATGCCACTATCACCTTCATGATGCAACATGACAAATATCTGGGAGTTGACAGCTCTGTTAAGTTATTACATTTATTTGAGCAAGATGTCATAGCCATGGACACGTACCTAAATCTCCTAGAATCCGACAAACTATCAAGGCATATGTAAAGTCAAAGCTGGAGTAAGATAGACAATGTGGATGGAGTTTATCATACTGTATTGCTCACTTGTGTTTTTGTTGTATCATTTATCTTGTTACCTTGTAGTACAGTGTGTCTTTAACAAATCTAACATTTTGTTTGCGTTGACGGTATCGGAATAAATTCTTGATAAAAAGTCACATTGTAAGGATGCAAAAACATGTAAACCAAGGTAGGCCCCTTCTACCTAGCTCCTGCTGATAATCAATCCACATAGTGCAAGTGATCCAATCACGGCAATTATTGGCAGCAGTACTGCTTGCCTCCATTGGTGGGGTGTGAGAAAGCTCACCGTTGTCAACCTCAGGAGTAGGGTTGAGGAGATTGGGAGTGTCAATGTCAGAGGGATCATGGGCTTTGATGAAGTTGTGCAGCATGCAGACTGCAGGTGGAACCTTGGCTTGGAGGGACATGTTGTACCCTATAGTGACCCTCAAAATCCCAAATTAGCCCTTCAAAACACCAAATATTTGCTGCACACTATTTTGGGCAGATGCATGGCGTAGATTAATATATTCCTTGGGATTTTGGGGTCTAAAAAAATGATTTTTAGTCTACTGTAACATGGTAAATAAATGCTGTACATTACCTGTGATTTCCCTGAGCATATTTGGCCAAATGATAGTGGACACCTCTGTAGGGGACCAGCAATTGGTCACATAAACACGTGAAGGAAATCCCGTATCAGCAAGATAGTAGCAATGATGAGGGATGTACAGGTCATGGGTCCGAGCATCATGGAACAGGCTGGTGTCTGCAACTGACCCCTCCCAGCCGCTAAGCATGTATATAAACTTTGTATTGAAGTCACAGCACATCAAGCAGTTCTGGGTGACTGAACCCTTCCGATTGCAAGAGGCTGCACGTTCTGCAGCAGAAGGACTGCAAACAATATGGCTGCCATCAATTGCACCGATGGCACCCACAAAATGGCGGAGCTTTGGGTTATTGCTGATGGCAAATGGCATAGGGGCATTGGCATCTGGTAGACGTACATATGCATTGTAGATATTAGGGCAAGTGAAAGCTTCAAGCATTCTCTTGAAGTATCTCGAGACTGTATCATTAGATCATTGGAAACATTTGGTGATGTGGCAAATGGACAATCTTGTCACACATGTGTACAGAAAAATGGTGAATTGTTCTTCAATTAAAACATGCTTTGAATCTGAGTATCTGTTGGCCTACAATAAATCTAGAAACTTTGAGAAAATGTCCTGCCACACCCACAATCAATACTGAATGGTAGAGGAATAGATAGAGAAAGGCATGAAAATATGTAGGTAGCACAAAGGTGCAGAATCACAAAAACTAGCACTTTGTCTCTTTTAGCTGCTTAATTGATCTAATTTTGCTAAGGTGGGAGCAATTAATAATCTAATTTTGCTAAGGTGGGAGCAATTAATAATCTAATTGACAACCTTATTTGCCATGATGAGACAAGACCTGAAATTAAAAAGCTGTGCATGTTCAAATAGCACTGGAAATTGTATTGTGCCAGTTGTCCAGAGCATTATGCAGTGCATGTCTTAACCTATTATTTTAAACTTTGTAAGTTACAATTAATGGGGAGTCTTGGATAGCTTGAAAATGTGTGAGTCAAACTGCTGAAAGAATATAGGATGATGGATATTTAGAAACTAGAAGTAGTCAATACTATGATGGTACAGTATTAATTGAGATAGTGTAAATGTGCAATATTGATGTCCTCAGTACCAGAATCATACTTCTCTCTACTATCATCTATTACTGCAGCCACACGAGTGTCAAACAACTCTCTATCATCTCAGATAATTATCATTCACATTACTGAAAAAACTGACTATTGATCTACCACTAAAAGATTAAACAAATCAGCTTTTAGTGCCCAAGACAAAAAGAAAAAGTTTAAAAGCACCAAAACAAAGAAAAAATGTTGAACTGTGACCAAGAAGAACATACAGACAAAAAGTGCTGGGGAAAAGGTGGTGGAAAAGAAGGACAAGGTCTGAATCAGCGAAAAAAGAAGGACTATGCAAATACAGCTTGTGAAATCACCGCTGAAGAGGACTAAACATTCACAATCTTTGAAATGTCCAATACTGCATCACAATCTGGCCAACCACAAAACTCAGACATCATTGTAGACTCCAGTGCCACATCCCATTTCTGCCCGGACAAAACAAAATTCAAATCTTTCATGCCAATACAGCCTCATCCAATCAGCATAGCTGATGGAAGTGACCCACAAGCAATAAGAAAGGGCAACATTGAGGTATATCTACCCAACAATAATCAGCGCACCAAGATAATCTTGAAAGATACCTTATACATACCTAAAATGGCTATAACATTAATTGCAGCGAGCCACATTGACAAGGCAGGAATGTCCTTAAAAATGGCCAATGGAACCTGCAACATTATATCAGCCATGGATAACACAATATCCTCTATTCCACTAGTAAATGGACTCTATCGCATATCTGTCAAAGATGAAGTGTCAGTGGCAAACACAGGACCTAGGGTAGTATCAATAAACTACCTATATAAGTGCATGGGGCACATAGCCCCATCTGCCATGAGAACAATGTTGACTAGAGAAATGGTTCAAGGAATCAAGCTGAACAAATCACCTAAAAGAGTTCTGCAAATCCTGCATTAAAGCAAAAATGACAAGGCTGCCAATACCAAAGGAATCACTCACTCGTGCAAAGGACAAAGCCCTCACATTGTTCCGTGAATCCGTAAAATAGCTAAACACTCAAGACAATGGCACCAAAACCAAACAAATGAGATCAGATGGGGTGGCGGATATATAAGCAAAGATTTCAAATCCTACCTTTCAAAACTCGGCATTCATCATGAACAAACAATTCATAACAAGCCTGAGAAGAACGGAGTCACTGAACGACTAAACCGCATGCTAGTGAAAAACACACGTGCCATGTTAATTCAGGCAAAGCTGCCTAGGAATCTATGGGCAGAAGCTATAAATTATGCTGTATGGTTAAAGAACAGAACATCAACAAAAGCATTACCTAAAAAGACACCATACAAGATGCCAAACAGCTCAAAACCAAACCTATCCAAAATACATAAGTTTGGATGCCCTGTCTTGGTGAAAAGAAAACACTCACCTAAACTCAAATCAGTCAAGCAAGAAATCTGTTTCAAGCCCGAGAATGAAAACACACCTGGTAATAGCATGTTTGAAGGGGGAAACACAAAACAAGAGAAACCAGATAAGAAAGATGACTTACCAGCCAAACCACCTATATCTGCATCCACGGAAACTATCCAACCAATAAATGTTCGTCAAGGCCCTCCCACTGAATGATCAAGTTGTCTTTAACCCCCTCCAGATTTCTACTTGGCCTTGAATCACGGTGAAAGAGCCAAATCAGTGTGGACAAACAATATTGATGGTGACAATTACAAATCAGAGTTTGCTCTGATTGTTCTATCAGTGTTTACTGACAACATCATAATTACATCAGACATGCTACAGGCTATCAGCTATCAACGACTTCAAGCATCAACTAATAAGTCACTATGAAGTCTCTGACCTTGGAGAAATTAAGTGGCTGCTTGGATTCACCATAGAGTATGACCAAGAAGCTTGAGCCATAGCAATATCCCAGAAAGCATATATAGATACAATGGTTGAATGCTTCGGACTGAAAGATGCCAAGTCATCACCCACTCCATTAGAACCTGGCCTAACTCTCAGCACCGAACAATCACCAGCTACGCCAAAACAGTACGACAAAATTACCAACATTCTGTACCAAGAGGTTGTAGGATATCTCACTTAGATAGCACTTGGATCTTGCCCTGATGTAGCATTTGCTACAAACATGGTAGCACAATTCAATCAAAACCCTGGTAAATCCCATTGGGATGCGGTCAAGAGGATCATACACTACCTAAAGGGCACTTGAGAACTCTGCTTGAGATCAAATCCACACAACAACACTATCCTATCATACACAGATGCTGACCATGCATCTCAGAGTCACTGACACTCTATATCCGGACATGTCTCATTCTATGCTGGCTTACCCGTTATCTGGGGTGCAAAGAAGCAACATATTATAGCTCTTTTGAGCACAGAATCTGAGTACATAGTCAATACCCATGCCTCCAAGGAGATTTTCTGGCTCCAGAATCTTGTTAGTGAATTAAGGTCACCCATAAAAGGACCCACCATACTATATTGTGACAACCAAGGAGCTATAGCATTGTCCAAGAACAACATGTTCCACCCCAGAACAAAACATATAGATATCCGGTATCACTTTATCCGCAAGGCAGTTGAAAACAATCAAATCATACTTCCTACTGTCCCACCAATGACATGATTGCAGATATCTTTACCAAGTCTCTTCCAAAGATCAAACACAAGAAATTTGTTGATATGATTGGACTATGTTATGATTGAAGGGGAATGTTAGAAATACAACAATTATACCTAGTATTAGATTACAGTATCTCCGACTTCATGCTTACCAATACCACAGCCACAGCTTCACTACATTCATTGTATCACAGCTCTGACTACTTCAGCTCTCTGAAGCAGTCAGAACTGTGAGTATAGTTATTATGTTCCTGCATCACCTACAATACTGGTCCTTCTGTAGATATCTCACTATATCTTAGGTACTTAATACAGCTCTCTGAAGCTGTCAGAACTATATCTCACTATATCTTAGACTGCTAGCCCACAAATTGTGGCACAAGCAATGGATGTGAACAATTCCACTGTGTCTGGAAATATTCTAGCTGTAGTGGACTTGATGGCACAGGGAGGTTTTGAAAAGGAGTCACAAGAAGCAGAGATTGAAGGTGAAGAGGATAAATACCTGTTATGTTATGTAGTCCTGTTCCACGGTGATCTAGGAACAAGTGAGCAAGCACAAGCAGTACAGCAGTGCAGAGCTATCAAAGAGACTCCACAGGACCACTTTCAGCATGTAGTCTTCATTCCGGGGCTCTTCAACTTAAAGATAGCATGTGCGGATACCTTATGGCTTATGGTGGGTGTTTTTACAGCCTTTAAGTGCTTGCAAAGACAATACAAGCCTCATGCATAATGTTTCCAAGCTGTGCTCAAAGGAAACAGGCATATTTGTTACCAAACCTGGCTTTTGTCACATGCATCTGCTTATAGGACACTCAAGTATATGCCACCGCCTCAATTGTTGAAGGGCTTATGCCATGGAACGGAATCCAGCTCACACCACCCTTGAAGAATTTGCAAAGAGTAAACCAATGTTTGAACAGCTTGAAACCATGGCCACACACCTCACAGAATAATATATTGCCAATGGCAACATCAGAGACGTGAGAGACTAGCCAATGGCTCTGAGGGATCAGCAATATGGAAATAACCTGTTATTCAACAAATATGTTTTGCTGTACGAGGAGATATTCTACGCTATGAACAGAGGGGATATAGTGTTACAATACACAAATTTTGGACTTACATCCTTTCTTTCTCCGCTTCAACTTTCTTTCTTAGTTTTCACACATTTGTCCTATGCATCACTTTCCTTATGTTTAAACTCCACTTTCTTGCGCTGCACTATTTTCCTTTATTTTTAGGCACAAACTCTTTCACACAGTGGGGCTGGTCACATGGGCTGCATCCTATAACATCATCAGCCACTGCTTTTATCAACTGTATAGTACACAATTGATATTATACAGCTATGGAATAATAGCTGTCTCAATAGCTTCTCAAATTCTCCTCCCAACTTTATGGCTTGTTCTGGACTGATGATTATGGCACAATATGCAAGATTTCCAATTGTCTATGCAATTAACTAATTGTTGTGACATATTCCCAATTAAAAGATACAGGTGCTTACCCGGAAACTCACTGGTGTTGCTGTCTTCGAGTGAATGGCGATGGCTGGCTTTCTGGCTTTCTGAATGGACTTGGTGTACTGTAGGCCCAAGAGGTTGAGTGGAGTAATGATTATTTGAATGCTATTTACTCTAAGCAGCAATAGTATCTTGAGACTGAGGGTCTTGCCAAGGCCTGTGCCTGCATTCAAGATATCATCTTCATTGCCCTTGGCAAGCATCTGGCCTACCTTGACCTGCCATAGACATAGATATGTTCCTAGCTTCTCCTGCATGATCCTTCAAATGTTGGAAACAGATATCACATCTGCCTCTGCTTGCATCCTTAATAGGGTGATTTGAAGCCACCACGCAGTGAAAATAACACTGTATTTCTCAAAAAAAGACAGAGTCAATAAGATGTTTTCACATATTTTAAGGTCCAACACTGATGAATGTCACTTTCACTGTGGTGACCCTTTGTTTACAAATGTTAATTTGCAGCTGCTGTGGAGAAAGAGCAAGGAATAAAGTATCCTCCTCTCTCAAAATAGTGGCTGTGGAGGAGCCTGGAAAATCTTCCAAAAACCCAATTGTTTCCAGCACATTCCAAGCAGATTTTGCCTGGATGTTCAGTTCTGGAGATCTTCACAAAACCTATAGGTATCCTGCACATTTCAATCAGATACTCATAAAGGACTTAGTCATTTTCCAGAGTCCTTTGAGTTCCATGAACATAATTGATTATTTTAGTATTTTAGTTAGCTAGTAAATAGAATAACCCACATTGGTCTCAAAAATAAAGTAAATTGATATTCTTCATATTACACCACCACTCATATATGACTTCCCTTACTCAAGGCAAACTTGAACAATATCCAATCAACTTGTCCTGTCAGGATATTGATTTGAATATTAATTAGACAAATATAGTGGAACCTTATTGCAAATCCAGGCACAAAGTCTTGACTTCAGCTACCACTCCAAGCACAGCTTGTCCAGCACTCTGAAGCAACTTATGTCTATTATAAGGATTTCTGTCTTGCCATGTTGCTCTTTCTCCACCTCCTACACCACCAGACTTGTCCATGCCCAAAAGACAATCACCTCTGCACATACCTGTAACTACTAAAGTTTTTATACTCTAGCGCACAACCAAAGACAAGCAAAGCAAGGCAAGTGAAGGAGGGTAGACTCCCTTAGGGTAGGATCGAGTTAATTGTGGGTAAAAAACAGGAGGACTCACTGAGGAGTCTTCTTGATCTACTGGGGTTTATATATTGTACTACTACAGGTTATTTGTACATATATACTATAAAGTTGGTAAATGTGGTGGCTGATGATGTCATAGGGTGGAGCTTTTGTAGTCAGCCCCACCACATGAGAGAGTTGTAACTAAAAGTAACAAGGAAGCTGCATAGCGCAAAAAACTGAAAAATATAAGTGGAGTTAAAAAATAAAAGGAAAGTGTTGCATGGTATAAGTGTCCAAAATGAAAATAAAAGTTACATCTCAACTCTTGTCAAAAATTCTGCGCTTGACAAAGACATTGAAGCATAGACCAAAATTTGCACCTAAGGCATTTATTTTCTAGAAGTCTATACACACAAGAAGGATCCCACACAGAAAAATCAAGTATACATACACATGGGTTACCAGGATTTCTCTTGCATCTGTTGGTGTGCACCAATTGTCACAGCCAGTGACAATCAAGTTCCTTCAGCCAGTACACGTGGAAAATCAGTACTCACATTCATTTCAGCCACAACTTATTTTACACTGCTTGGCAATTATAAAATGCTATTGCACACCAAGTAACAACCCATGTCCACTTCCCAATTTCCTATCATTAGTCTTGGCCTGAACATAAATGACTTCCTTGATATTGCAGTTTGGCGGACCAGTTAATCCCCAAGATCTGTTTGATGATGTGTTAAGTGCATCATTCACAATGGGCTGACGTCCTGCAAGGAAATAAATGGGAGATAACAGTAGAAAAAGCAAGCAGCTTGTGCAGAGCTTTATTGTCGGACTACCAACTATCAGACAGTGCTCACATTTGGGGCAGCTACAATGCAAAGGCAAATGACAGCACCATCAAAATGTCTGACTCATCCAGCACAATAAGTCTCCTAGGTTATTTTAGGATCTTGCTCAAGGACTTTTATGCCACTTGCTTGTATTGTCTTTTTCATGGCTGATAAAAATATAGTTGTAATGAGTATATTATTGTACTATTTTGTTCTGTATGATCTGATTATATTAAAATGATATATTTTACTGTCTATGTTTATCTTGGCAGATAAATAATTTGAACCACTTTCTTACCTACACGGTTCTTGTGAATTCATGGACAATCATTGTCTTCCATATTGTAAATGTGGTGAATCCTCTATTATTGTGTGCTGTTAATAAGTCTTAATTTTTGCTTATGTGATTCAGCCTTTTGTTGATTGCTAAGGTATTGCTTGATAAGCTTGGCAATTGCCC